ATAAATAAAATAAAATTAAAAAATTAAAAAAAAAAAGTTTTCATCTAATGATTGCTAATGCAAACCTGTCTTTTAGATCTGATATTCTGTGTGCACACTAGTTTATTCTGCTGCATATGCTTTGTTTTTCAAAGAGGGTTCTGCTGTGCAGGTGAGATTGGCCTTCAGCTCACAGCAGTCCTTCCACCTCAGCCTTCTTACCACTCGGATCACTGGTGTGTGCTGCCACTCCTGGCCTGCATATACTTTAGGTAAGTGTATCTTCCGGTAAGTTTTTTATTTTCTGAGACAAGGTCTCACTAAATTGTAATCTAAAATGGGCTTGGACTTGTGATCCTCCTACTTCTGCTTCCCAGAGTACTGGGATTCAAATTAGGCCACCATGCCTAAATAGCTGTCTCCCTATTTAAGAAACAAGTCTGCTGACCCTTGTAAGAAGTCCTTCGCTGTAGGGCAGTGGAACAAACATCTGGATACCAGGGCAAAAAGCTTTTGAAGGTGAGGCGGGTTACTTGAAAGCCAGTCAAGGTAAGATTTTTTTTTCTTCCAGAGCTGTAATGGGAAGAACCTTACACTCAGCTACACATTGCTTTATTCAGGCATATCAATCAGGAGAATGTAAGAACTATCCAGGTAGAGACTAGGGTCAGTGATAAAACAAAAGCATCAAAAATAAAATCACTTGTCAGCATTATTACGTATGGACTAAAACAAGGACACATTCTCACTAGAACAGAAATAAACTTTAATTCATTGAAAAGTGCAGCAGTGAACAGGGTCCTTTGAAGGGCACTTTCTAAGTGAAATGACTGAGATGACACAGAGCCAGAGCGGATTAACTTCTACCAACAGATGATGCAAACAGAGGAATTTATACAATTTGGTGGGAATCAAGTGGTGGAAAAACCTAAGAACCCAAATATGCCCATCTACTTCCAGTGGTGGGTCAGTTAAAATAATTCATTTTCTTTTAAGAATTCTAGGGCAATTTATGTTTCACTGAAAAGCTTTAATCCTTAATTTACTTAAAAGTAAACATTTTTACAGATTAAGATAACTATCATGGTTTGATTTTGCATAAAAATCCTAACGTAATTAAATGTATTTGCAACAGCACCATTGGTCAAGCTTAAAGATACTTAAAATATGTACTTTACTTTGAAACTGTATGTGAGGGACAGTTTTGCAACAGGGAGTTTTTTTTTTTTTTTTTTGCTCCTTGAATGCCTTCAGGGCACTTTGGCATGGCTGGAGTGTTGTGGGGATCGAACTACAGCAAACTGAGGCTGCCAGCATTGTGGAAGCAGCCAAAGAACTGAGCTAGGGCTGGGCCCCC